AAAAAAAAAAAAAAAAGCCCTATGTTTTCGAGTCTCTTTTCTAAACCGTCACATGGGCAAACTGATAATCTGGCAAGAACGTGGAGGCAGGTGAGCCCTGCCCAAGGCAGAGTGATTTGTCCTTCCTCAGACTTTGGCCTACTCCTCCCCTGCTTCGTGGACAGAGGTGATTTCGTGGTAACAACCATTCACCTTGCAAACACACACCTGTCCCCGGCCAGACCTGCCCCCGGCATGGGGAGGTGTTTCCCAACAGGCTTTGTGCCCAGCTGGTCACAGGCCAAAGCCACCTGCTCACTCTAGCCTAAACCTGCTGAGGAACCAGTGCAAGCCTGAGAACAAGCGCCGAGAAAGCAGGTTCTGGTGGTTTTCAAGATAACAAGTGGACACCTCAATTTTCTAGCATGGGCTGTTTTTTTCTGGATTGTATTCTGCCAGTTTTCAATCCTGGTCTGACTTTCCCCCACGTGCCTCTCCCTTCAAGCTGCCTTTTAAATCATAACAACATAGTGATAACCGTGATCAGCCCCCTTTATGGAATGCTTCCAGGGGCCAGGCATGGGGCCAAGTGTTTTACAAACACCCAAGGAGGAAGAGAGACTAGCTATCTTCATCTTACAGATGAAGAAACTCAGCCTTAGAGAGATAAGCAGCTAGTAAGTGGTGGTGACTGGATTGGAAACCAGACCATGTGGTTATGAGCCCATAACCGCGGTTGCTATAAAGGCTTTTAACTACTCTGCTGTGCTGCCTCTCATAAAGTTAATTTTAATATTAGCCTAATCCAACCCTATTTAGGAAGGGAAATGTGCTGCCAAAAAATCACTTAGACTATCCTAAAGCTAAATATAAAAGGCTTTTCTATGATCTCTTCTTTGGGGCTATTTAAGCTAAGGCTTCTCTCTGAGGGCCCGTGTAACCAAAGGTTATATGGGTACCTACCATTCCGGCAGACAGGAAATGAGCCCAGCTCTGCTGTCCCTGAATCAGGGCCTGAAAACGATCTGCTAACAGGGACAGTTAAGCTTATAAAATCAGCACGGAAACAAAAGCCTTAGACCAGGCACTGGGATTGAAAATGTCAAGAGCCTCCTTCTAGTTTACTGCCTTGGGGTGGGAATGGGGAGGACACTGGCCTGAGGATTAGCATTTTGCAGCTAAAAGCTGAGGGTTTGTGTGTAGAAGCTGACTTTGAGGTCCCATTGAGTCTCATCTTGGATTTTTAGATACCAGTATGGGGCTCAGAACAAAGGAAGTTTACGACTCCTTTATTCTGGTGTTGCTCAGTGGTTGAGCGTTGACCTATGATCCAGGTGGTCATGGTTCGATTCCCAGTCAGGACAGATGCCCAGGCTGCGGGCTCGATCCCCAGAAGGGGACCTGCAGGAGGCAGCTGATCAATGACTCTCTCATCATTGATGTTTCTCTCTCTCTCTCCCTCTCCCTTCTTCTCTCTGAAATCAATAAAAAATATTTAAAATGTTGATACTGGAGACCAAGAGACTTCTCTAACAGTCACCTGAGACACTTTTTACCTCATGTCACTGCCCTAGCTTCTCAATGCTGAGATGAGGAGCTAAGCAACCTTCTGTATCTGGCCCTGCAGGTCCTGCAGCTGCTCAGCCCCACTGCAGCAACTTCCGTCCTTGGCGATGCAGATCCAGCAGGCCAGTGAAGTCACCTGGCAACCCTGAAGACATCCCCTCTTTCTCTGCCTGGAATCCCCTCTCATTCTTCTCTCACAACTCCTACCTCTTCACCTTCAACAACTCAGGGTAAACCCACCTCCTACTCACCTACCACTGTGTCTTTCAAGTTTTTTTTATGTATTCACTATGTACCATATTGTTTTATTGTTACTACTAACAATAACAAGGATGCCAGATACCATTTATCAAATGCTACTTGCCAGGTATTATCTCATTTACACATTATCTCATTGAAACCCCACAACCACCCTGTGAAATGGGTGCTTTTATTACTCTCCCCATTTTCCAGATGAGAAAATCAAGGCCGGGGAGGTTAAGAGGCTTGCCTAGGACATAGAGCTAAGAAGTGGTAGAGCTGGGATCTAAACCCCAGTAGTTCTGATCCCAGAGCCAGTCTCTGAACCAATATGAGTTTGTCTTTTCCATTAGATTCAGTTCATTAAAGGAATCTTTCATGTCTTCTTAATTTCTACCTCCTGACACTCCATCCTGGGCTCTGCTTGGAGTGGATAGTTGCCCTATTGGTCTCAGTTTGCAGGAGCTCTGCTCATACCATCAGGCCTGCTGGGCATTAGACTCTCTGCTTTTCCCTGGCCTTGCTCGGGAGATGCAAACAGTGAGGCGGCCAGGAGCTAGACGTGGAAGGCAGCTCCAAGTCTGAGCCATAACTGATGTCCCGTGTAGTCAGGCAAGGACTGTGTAGCTTTGCAGTGCTCATCTCATGGCCATGCCACAACTCGCACACTCCTGGCAGTGCCACTCCTGATAATCAGGTGCGGGGAATGAATGACACCAATATCCTGTTGGTGCTTGTTTGGACTGCTGGAGCATCTATGAGGGAAGATTGCCTTTTAAATCACCATATTACCATGGAAATTGGACTCTGCCTGATATCACTGCCCCCTTGTGGACTGAGCTTTTCTGACGTTTTGGGAGAAGAGAAAAACAAAGTATATGTTGTCTCTAACGTTCCTGAAAAAAATAACATTGCCTGCAAATCTTGTGAGTCTTCTGGGTTCTTCTGCTTTTTGACTGGGATCCCAGACAGTGCATAGCTCCTTGCTTTTTAGCAGTAAAACTCAACTTGGCAGTTCTCTGCATCTTTCTGAGCTCATACCTATCTCCCCTTTTAGTTTGCAGGCATCTGCCAGCAGTCTCCTTTCAAAATAACAAGGCCCCTTGAACCACTTTTCCCCATGGTCCCTTTCTTTCCATCTCTACTGCCTTCACCCTAATCCTAATCCCTTCACAGTTACTACAGCTTCCACACCTGCCCCTCCTCCCCTGCACTTTCATGCTAATCAGCCAACACTCCACTTTACATATGAGGCTCCCCACTTCTTACAGGGCACAAAGTTCAAGGTCCCCAACCTTTCTCTCAGCCAAAAATACTCACTGACTGTCTACTGTATATAAAGCACTCTTCTAAAATCTGCTCCAACTGAAGGGTGGCTATCAAGTGTCCTTGCGGGTGGCAGCAGGCACTTTATACATGTATGTCTTTGGATCTTCAGGACAACCCTGTGAGGTAGTATTATTATCAGAAGGGAAAATGAGTCTCAGAGTCCTGGGTGGGTAGCTCAGTTGGTTAGAGCATCGTCCTGATACACCAAGATTGGAGGTTCGATCCCTGGTCAGGGCACATATAAAAATCAACCAATGAACATATAAATAAGTGGAACAACAAAATCGATGTTTCTCTCTTTCTCTAAAAAAAAAAAAATCAATAATAAAATATTTTAAAAAAGAAAGAAAGTAAATGAGTCTCAGAGATGTTAGGCAACTTGCCTGAGGTCACCCAGGCACTGACTGGCAGAGGCAGGACTCAAACCCAGTCCATGCCTTTTCCACAAACTGCCACATTCACTCACTCACTCACTTCAATGAATATTCATTGAGCCTTTTCTATGTGCTGGTTACTACTCTTGATATTAAGGATATAGGGATGAACAAGCCAGATGTGGCTCTGTCCCTCCTTGAAGCTTCCAATCTAGTGGGGGAGACCATGTTCTCACTTCAAGCGTCGGTGTGCTAGTGTCTGTCTGCTTGACCTGACCCTCATGATTTGTGGGAGGTTTTGATTTCAGCTTGGCTGGATTCCTCCCTGCCTGCCCCCCT